CGGAAAACTGAAAAAATTAGGGGGTGGCATATAAAATTGACGCGCACTATAGTGGTTCATAGTGAAAGCCGATAGTTCGTAAATAATAGTTTTAATCTGCGAACTGATAGAATACACTGCAACCAACTAATCATTTCATTGGCAGAAAATATTTCATTTTGAGAAAGTAGTCGTCACTTGTGATGCGTGGTGTGCACTCGACGTGCATCTGCTTTTCGAAAGCAGTATGTCTGTCGCAACGATAGGCCATTTTGACCTTGGACCCTTTTTTCCTAGTGTTTCTTCATTATCGTCCCGCCTTTATTTATCATTTCTTTTCTAAGTCATCATCATTCATCTTCATCATCATTTTTTTCTTCATCATTTTCATCAGTCAAGGTACATTACAATATAAGTGATACATTCTTTTATTCAGACGAAAATATTCGAATAAAATTTCCCGATAAAATTAAATGTGATAATAAAGATCAATATAACAGCCCGTACAATGTGACAATCTGTGTAATGGTTTGAATATCTGAAATCTATTCTATGTAGCAGCTGCATTCATCCAATTTGTAATTCCGTCAGAGGGTTACAACGGTTTTTGTAGTGAGGTATCACAAATAAAAAAAATTAGCTACAAGACGCGAATTTCTAGCAAATCTAACCGGTAGTGTAACAAAATGGTATAACACATTATATATTATATCGATATGCATACTCTCATGAATTCTCGAAAAGCAGAAGCGTCATTTAAAAGCTAATGTGTAGATAATTTCAGGGTCAGCTCCAGTAAGGAGGGAGGGGGGCACGGGTCTGTTCCAGTAGGCGGAGCATGAAGTCTAGAGCGCTCAACGGGCTTGAAACCACGGATCCCAGCGTGAAGGCCGAGGATTGAGCCTTATAAGGATCCAGGGATCATGAGCAATCTTCGCCTTCCCGGGGACACCCTCCCCTTCATAGGTTTAGCCCTAGCCTGATAGCAGCGCGTAATTTCGAAGGACTCCCTGAGCCGAACTGGCTAGAGCAGACTGTGCACCGCAATGACCCCCCCCCTTACCAGAATGACCCTCAATTTCATTTCATAATTTGTATGTAATAGTATAACATATGGCCGTTATGAAAGGTAAATGAAATGACTGTGAATAATTTTATGTGCAATACTAAAAATTTATCGTCAGATTTGTTACGTATTATAACTTTTGTAGATTACTGTAGTTTTTTGGTACAGAACTGAAGAAAATCAAAATTTCAGGCAATGAGATGGGCAAATATCAAGTACTTTTTTTCAAAAGTACTTCAAGTACACAGAGGAAACAAAGAGTGGAAGGGGAAGAGCTATGCGATGATTCCAAGGAGCTGTGAGGCCATTTGAAACTCCAAATGTCCTTGGGTGAACAACAGCTGATCTAGGAGTACATCGAGCTGATCAGTATGTCGTCCTCATCCGAGTCACCCTGAAATTTCTAAAACAAACAAATTTCTAGTTAACACAATGAAAATTTTCCGCTGCCGAGACTTTCTGGAGGTGGTTATCGCCGGCCAGCGGTGCCGCCGTTTTAGAGCTTGATAAAGTGGTACGCTGGCTCAAGTGAATCGTTACCTACGCCGTTACATAAAATAATAAAGAACCTGAGTACCCTCCCCTTCAAAAAGCGAGAAAGTGTCGGGTGCAGACCATGCACCACAAGTGACGACGGCCTTCACAAAATGTTAATGTTTTCTGCCAATGAAATGATTAGCCTGTTGCAGTTGTATTCTATCGATTGTCACTAATTACAACTATCATTTACCAGAAATCAGCTATCACTATGAACAACTTCTACCACGATTTACTTGGTTGACGGACTACTTGACTCGTCCTTTAGATCCCTTTCGTTTGGTGCTCCCGCATGCGCTCTCTGTGGATCCCTCCTCTCTCCAAGGCTTAGTCCCTGGGCTTCACCCGCTCTCTAATCGTCTGGCCTCCGCCATTCGTGGCAGGACCATGGACGAAAGTTCAAGTAGTCGTAAACCGATTTACTTGGAGGCCGTCGTCAGTTGTGGTGTTTGGTCTGCAGCCGACACTTTCTCGCTTTTGAAGGGGAAGTTATATAATGGCTGGATGAGCGATCACCGTGGAAGATATGATACATTAAGATAAGAAGACGGCTGCTTGGAATGAGGTGCACTCCAGAATGAAAACGGGACGATAACGATAACGGTATCATATCTAGCACGCTGCTTTGCACCCCTTCCACATCGATAAGTGGGTGTTTTTGCTCCCGGAAGTGGATTTCGGCGCCTTATCACGACGTTGATAAAGGGCAACTGCCACTGAGACCGTCACCTATAGTCTCATTGGGCAGCCATACTTTTCAGCCACCCAGTACTGATCCGAAAACGTTCACAGTATAAGAATTCGAAGCGCAAGGGCTGTGGAGAGCGCAATAAGCAACTTGTACTTTTTGACACAATTTCGAGGCCTAAAGCTTTACCTGTAATAGGTTTCCACGACGATTTCTTGCCAGCACTTTCATACGAGCCCTCCGTCGTACCATCGAAACCACTACAATAGCCAGTACGACGAAGATGCCGAAGGCGATCACTACCTCTCGCGTTGACAACACGATAAATCCGCCTGCAACAAATCTGCTGCTTTTCCTTTTTATTTGCTAAACAGTAGTTTTACGGTAGCACAGATTCATGTTGTGGCACCTAAATATGAAAGCGAAAGTGCTAGTTGGCCTATTATTATTGAAAGGGGAAAAAAGAAAAAGAAATCCGTAGGTGGAGAAGCAGTTCGAAAAAATCCGGTGTTCCGTGTGAGCTCTCACCTAAAGGTGGATTCCACGACAAGGTCGGAGGTCGAACAAGGGGAAACCTACCTAGTGGAATGGCCGGCGGGCCCTCTAAGGGTGCTTTATGGTGCGCGTTTCGTAGCAATGAGCATGCCCTCAGCGGCCTAGCAGGATCGTACCCGCACCGCTTGCACTGCTGTACACCCACCCTCTCGATGTCTTATCCCTGCTCCTTTAGCAGAGCAGGAGAGAGAGCATTAGCGTTCAAGAGGGTAACACCGATGAGAGTCGGATCAATGCCAAATTAATGGGCAAATAAAAATCCATTTTTCGATTCTGGCTGTTCCTTCAATCGATTTGTCAGGTACCGCCTCATCTGAGCACTTTACCTTGATTTTTAATGGGCTACATTTTCATTGCAAATTCCGTCTCTAATAGATCACATCAGGCTCAACGATGACACCTATTCTCATGGCATCGAACTGCACCACTACATTCCCTGTTGGCAATAAATAATTTCGTTGCGCTTGTAATGAAGTAAGTAAGCGCAGTCTCACCAGAAGTCGTGCTGGGGAGTCTATTCACTGGACAAGGAGAAAATAGCCCACGCACATAACAGATGTGCAATTGTCGCGGCTTCGAACTGCGCACAATGCGGTGCTTAACACGTTGACGACAACGCGAGTTTTGGCACTTTTGGCCACGTGGGACCACGGCGTTTTTGCGAGCGCCGCCGCCTCAGGTTGTTCAAGCAAATTTTGAGTGATAAAAACATAAATAATGATCAATACAAGGCCAGATCAATATATTGTAATGAGCACAACCTACTCGGAGGTACAGTAGCGGAATTTCTATTGAAAGACATGGAATAACAATGAAAAAGTGATATTCTTTAGAACAAGCTGCAATAAACTTCAAAGGCAATTTTGAGTTGATTATTTTAATCAAAACACATATATTGTCATCTCTAAGGTACCGTATCTACTTCTACTACTATTTAAACCTTCACATTCATAGGAAGAAAAAGTAAACGAAAAATTTATTAGGCTGAAGATTTCGTATGGTTCAGAAATCCTCCTCAAATTGAAGCATACGTGACCATTCTATGGACCACTATGTTTTTAGCTAGGTCAAGGTCTCCTCCATTCAATAATTACAAGAAACTTCTAGAAGAACCAGGCGTGCGCGAAAAAAATTAGTGTAATGGGTGCGGGGGATATATCCCCCGCACGGTCCGACACGGCCTGCAATGCGCGGGATATACAGGGGGGGCCAAAAAAAAAAGACATTTTGCCCATGTCGCACTTCGGCCATTTTTTCTTCGCAGAGATTGCCGTCGTTGACGGAAGTTTCTCAGCATAATATCCCCTAAATGTCCCTCTATAAGTAGACGCAGGCCCTCCTCCACTGCCCTCACCGTATTCAGAATATGACGTCATCTGTCATCGTCGTCAAGCTCCAGGAGGCCTACCAGAACTGCTTCAGCCTGAAGCTCTCACATAATTTCGTGAATCGATTCAACGTTGGATAGATTCTTAGGGACCTTAGCTCCCACTATGCAAACCCCTTTGGAACCCGCCTTCCAGGGAGGTCGTTATGGTACACGATCCTTCGAAGACCCCATTGAGCTCTACCAGCGCACCATGTTTACGAGGCAAATTTTTCTGGTGCCACCCACGTAGGTGGCCACTAAGAAGTTTTTCTTATAGAATGAAATGTGCTCTTCAATACCAAGCTGGGCTCATTCGGTTTGAATTGAGCAAAGTGTGATTAAATCCATCTGAGCGCGGAGACAAATGTCTTTTTTTTTGGGCCCCCTCCTTATATAACCCCCGTTTCGTCAATGTGTAAAAGTGAACTTCTGGCAACTAATACTAACTCATAGATGAGATATCTTGTGCACACTCCATGATACGCAGCGTGGATCATGACGTAACGGCTAATTCAAATACGCGGGGTCGGTGGAGCCATGGAGCAAGCTAGCTCGCACAACTGGCCGGCTCCGCCCCCTCCTTATTTTAAGGTGAGGGAAGATTTGCTTTGTCAACTTTTTTCTTTGCTTCTTTTTTCATTTCTAGCCAACTCGTAATCCACAACTCGATTATCAAACGCTGTGGCCTCACAAGTTTGATCTGAGGATGAGGTTTTGAAGCCTTCTACCTTGTGGCGGCTAGCAGTATTGGGGAAAAGTAAAATTCCAGGTGAAGGAAAACTGCCAAAGCCTGCAGTTTTCAATTTTTTTCTGAAGTTGATTCTTCTCACTCCACTTATGTTCTCTGACAGAGGGTTTCGCGTCACTGTATCATGCGGCTGTTTTCTGAGATGAAAACACAACTTACTATTAGCAACTGTAGTCGTACTGGTAGCCATGGTTGTAGTAGTGGTTTGCTTGTTACCTTCTATGTTTTTATTGAATCCGCCATTGTTTTGCCTTAAAAAAACTACGATTAGATTCTAAAAAATCAAGAGTTTTGGAATTACCAATGTTTGGTTCTCATGATTTGGGAGGTGATGGCAGCGACAGGTGGCGCCACTTACCATGGCATTTTTGGCCAAGTATGGATCTGATTTAGTCCAGGCTAAGCGAGTCATCCCTCTTTCAGCTTAACGGTACTAGATTTGTCTGGGAGAATAAATCTACTACCTACACATCTGATGGTGCCCACATGTCATCGTTCAGGCCATGTCATATTTCTATGTTACCGATTCTGACTCGGAGTCTAATGCATGGAGCATAGCAAATGAGAGGAGCCTCCAAAAGATCTTCACGCTCCTCGAGACACAACAAGCATTCGATTTGGTAACTTTACGCTAGTGGAAACAATAAAGAGCAGCGGACCGAGGCGCAGAGCGTCAAAGGGAATGACAGTTTTGAAAGGTCGAACCATTGGATTTAATGATGGGTCTTGTGGCACGACCTTTCACGGGAGTCATTAAACTGCAGTGACCTATCTGGCAGGGGAAACAAAGGTGCTGATTCAAGTGTGAGCTTTGGCATAACGTGCAATGGTTCGCGTTGCCTACATCATTCCTGAAGGGGGGGGAGGGTGAGTGCGAACCGGAAGAGGAATGGTCTACGCAGCCCGATAATTTCCTTCTTCTCCAACAATTGCAATTACTGTAGCGATCACTCACTCCTACCGCTTGTCTCCTTGAAATAGGTAAGAATACGGGTCTCGCAGCTGATTTCCACCTGGGGCAGCCCTGTATTGACAAGACATGCAGAGAAAACGGACGGCTATTACACGCGTGAAATCGATAAAAGCAAAGCATGCAACTGCGGCGGGAAGGCGCCCAAAACCGAGTATAAACGGCTGAGAGAAATGTTACAGCGCAAGGATTCGAGGTATCTGGATTCGTCATAGTAAATTGCAAGGGTGCAAATTCGTATGAAAACCTGCACTAAGTTCATAGTTGGCGACAAAATCGAGAACTTTACCGTACCTCGACTCTAAGAGCCGCGCCGCAGATTATACGAAGCTCCTCATAACGTCGTCACCACACGCGCACCACATCATCAAGAAAGGAAATGATATAGGAATTATCACTCGCCACTTGCGAGGAGTCGCTAAACCTGTATGTATCTTGATAACCGCCGTGGGACCAATAATTCTCATGTCGGAAACGCTTTTATGCGCCCATTCCAATGCTATACGAAGATGTGCACAAGGAATAAACGTGCGGAGCAGAATACGGAGATAACCACATTTCAGTTGAAAATCAAGCGGATTTAAAAGGGATGAAATTTCCACGATCCAGCTTAGGGGCTCAGATTGTTTCCATCAAAATCACAAAACCTATTATAAAATGCCGATCCTGCCAGCGTGAGATTGCCAGACGTTTAGATCAGGGTTTTTTATCAGTAGGGATTCGCCGCAGGGTCAAAGAGCGAATAGAGCGCTTTAGGCTACAGTTCTTTGGGAACACGGCCAAGCATGAAGCGTATGGATTGGAGCATAGAGCTCATCGAGTGGATTCCCATTCGACCCAAGTCGCGGTCTTCATGGGAAGCAATGCCAATGATAATCTTCTCAAACCAGCATTCCGAAAAAATTTTCACTCACAAAAAGCCCGAGGTGCTAGAGGTAGGGATGAGGTAGCTAACCATTGAGGTGGCGAAAAAACTGGCAGAAATCATTACAAAAATACCCTCCAAGATTTCTGCGAATCAACGTTTTATGAGTTCTTATGTGTTTTCCCCTCATCCCGAAAAACTCCATCCCAGTCAACCGAATGAAGTCTCAAACCATGCTGCATGCTGTATTTGGACCACATATCCAGGGTCAACTTAAAGGACGAATTCACGCTGGGAAGGCAACCCATTTCAAATTAACTCAGGGATGGTGATTGGTACACGAAAGAAGGAAGAACCATGAGAAACGGGCCCAGAACCCGAGAAATGGGACCCCTTCCTTCCCCGCTGATTTGCGCATTGATGCGACTCTTATCGCTGTGCCCTCCTCAACATCACGCTCTCTCTGCTATCTAATCAATCCCACGTATAGATCTGCGGCGAGTGATCAGCTGGTCGGTGGGCGGAGATCGCCAGACCCGCCAACTTTGAGGCATAATAGGTCGCCGAGGTCAAATTTTTCGATGCGAATTGCGCATCAGTTCGCACCCTCAGGAGGTCCGTGGGTTACTCAACTAGGTGAATTACTTCTTCCTCGACCTCCATTCTAATCGTAAAATCCTCCTTTAAGCAAATATCAGCGGGTCTTGCATTTGGGAGGAGGGCTCGATCGTATTTGAGGTTTTGTTTTGAAATTGGTCGCATTTACGGTTTTGGAAGGTGAATAGCCTTATAAGTTTTCGTTTATTGTGAATGTGGTAAGGAGGGGTTATATTTGAAATTTTCAAAGGAAGCAGAGGAGATCGTGTTGCAGTGGAGTGAAAGAGCTGTGCGACTTTGACAGATTTTTAACGACTTCCATGAAAAATCCATGGAATGGACGGAACTGGCCATCACCCTATTTACCCCAACCCCTCCTTCCACCCAGCTAGATGGACAGCTTTTTAGAGGAACTTTCGGGGGCGGTGTTTTAATGTGTCACCTGGTCTCACAATCGAATGCTATAAAAATAGCCATGGTGGTGAGGATGGTGGTGGAGCTGGTGAGGGGGGGGTGTCCTACGGGGGAGCCCTTCAAGGCTGCTGGTTGTAGGTCATGTTGAAACCCCCCTCAAGAGGAGGCGCGTGATAATCTAAATTCGGCACATCTCTCACACATGATTGCACGGCCTCTCGCCACTACAGAACGCCGGCTCGTACTGTAGACGTATTCAAATACAGTGGATACTAGAAGGTGCATACAGAGGACCACTTCTGTTAGTGAGGAGCTCCAAGAAGATTCAAAGGCATCTAGTACCAAACTGAATTCAAATCCTACCTCCATCGTTCACAGTTCCATTCATCTGATCCGTCCGAACATTGTGCTATTCCGTCACAAGCGTCGTATCGTGCTATGCATTCCCCATTGTGACACGCCCATTGCCATTCACCTTCAAAACATGGGAACGATTATTGAGTCGCTACAAGTTATAGCTATAGAATGAAAATGAATTAAAATGAAGACTTCAAATGAATAATCTAGGAATTAAAAAAGATTCATTTATGCTTCCTCCCTCCATGGTATTCGCTCTCTGAACTATGCACAGATAGTTTCCCCATTCCTTAGCGGCTCCGTGTGAACACGATTTAGTGTACAGGGGGGGGGCAAAAAAAGAGTCACTCTCATTCACATTCAAAACAGAATTAATTACACTTTGCCAAAACCAAACCGAATGAGCTCAATTGCATATTGAAGAGCACATTCTATTCTATCAAAAAAATTACATAGGGGCTTTCTACACCGAAATGTTCGAAGATTTCCCCACGGAATGAGATTTAACAATGGAGTAAGCAGACCTTAATAATCGCATACTTGTCCAATGGGTAAGAATGTATGGCTGTAAAGGCAGGACTTACCTGGACACTGTGCGGTAAAATCCTTTCGCCGAACATCGTCGAGATTGGATTGCACGCCCATAGAGCTCTCGATCTAGAATGGAGTGAATATTGTTAGGTCGCGTTGGCACAGTGCACACCTTACGTGACTGTATATGAGTTTTGGGTTATACCATGCGGATATTTCAATAAAATCGTAGAAAATTCCCTTCAAACCCGTTATTGACATGAGACTGATGGATTTTCATAGACAAATTTATTGAAGTTCCTATTTGTGAGACGTTTTTTAGAGTTCAGCCATAAAAGATGCAAAAACTTAAGCAGTCGGCTAAAGTCAATCTCTTTAAGATATGTACATACTAATGTAGTGCGCTACATTCTACTTCCATTACAAATCGCTGACCGTCATTAATGAGTTTTGTGTTCATTACACAATCGCGATGAGGACTGACTAACGTTCAACTCAGTGATTGAATGGTATAGCTTTGTTGAACTGCACACGAGGTTGATACTGACAGTTTATTGGCTTACGTTTCGGCGAGTTCGCCTTCTTCGGAGCCTAAAAGGATGGAAGTCGAGTTTCATGAGTATCCGACCAAAAATCTCCACACACCTACTAGATCTTCGACACCACCTAATCATCACGTAATCACAAGGTGAGAAACACCGTACCTTTACCAGATCCACTGGACCAGCCAACGACAAGCACAGTACAGTAAGACTTCGGGTGGACCGTATTCAGGGTACCGGTTGGAAAGCCAGGACTTATATAGGGGGCTAACTCCCGCGTAATTGACAGGCATTCTTCCCTCCGGTTCATTTTAGGATTCCTGACATGGATCCAGAATGCCTCGAGGGTTTTGCGCGCGGAAATTTGGGTCTCTTGCTCCAGTGGTGTGGGAGATTTTTGGTCGGATACTCATAAACTCGACTTCCATCCTTTTAGGCTCCGAAGAAGGCGAACTCGCCGAAACGTAAGCCAATAAACTGTCAGTCAACCAACCGTGTGTGCAGTTCAACAAAGCTATACCATTCAATCACTAATATGCCGAGGTTCATAGAGAGTCGAACATGGCGTCAACTTCTTTTTTTTTTTTTTTTTTTTATCTATGCGAACAGAAGAAGGCTCACTGAGGCTGAGTGTGATTTGATCCTCGTACTGCAAAAATGTTAGCTACGCCTCTTACCGCCACACTACCTCGCGTTTTTGAATGTGCAGTGAACAATGGGAGACTTCAATTATTTATTGCGAAAGACTGTAAAGGTTTTACCAAAAGATGTTGCAAAAATATGTGACCGCAAAAGTTTTGCAAAAGTTTAGGTCCTTTGTGAACTTTCGGCGCCTAGCGCCTTTGTCAAGTTTGAGAAATAAGCAGATGCTTTCCAAGCATCATCAACATGAGATTTCGCACAGAAAACTCTGAAGTTTGTGAATGCGCTCAATATGGTGCTGCTAATCACTGAAAAATTCCGGGACGCTGTCGCAATGTGGGGGCATCGCGATGCAGTGCACTCATCTCGTTAAAAACCACCATAGATTAATGGTAAACATAACATAAATATGTGTGTGCACTTCCGTAGGTTTCCAGCATCTGCTTTATCGGCAACCAATGATCTACCATTAATTTTCATCAGTACTCAAATATTTCATATTTTCTATGCCCGAAAAAGCTAACTGATGACCATCTGCAATTTGAAATTCTGGACAATTGACATATTCATTCGTTCTCAGAGTGGTCACATGAGGCAGTACACAGATGCAATATGTGAAACTGCGCATTTTACCCAAGAGCTGTTCAATGGTACGATTTCTTCGGTTCTGCTACTCGCTTTACTTCTACACCATTTCTTCAGTTTTTGTGTACGGGTTTTGAGCCTATTGGAGGAAAAGCAGCAATTTTTCATGTTAATATCTGACAAGAGAGCAGATCAAAACCTGTAGCATCCATGGAAGCCTTCAGGCAGTGGCCAACAAAGAAATTCAAAATTAACGAAGATGAGCAGTTGAGATGAAGGTTTTTGCTCTTGCAAGCAAGTGCAAAAGTAGTCTTTCTCTCTTTGCCTTCTAGCGTCTGCTCTTGCGAAAGGTTAAACAGATATAACAAATTTTAAAATGTTTTGTTGTATCAATGCCTGAATGCTTTGACAGATATCACTGCTAATGACAGATTTTCTCTTGTCAGCAGCAAATATCCTCCCCCCCCCCCTTCACTCCGTCTTGTGATAGCGCCTATTACCATCTAAGGGACAAGGGAAGAGAGACAAATGAGCCAGGGCAACCGACGCGCTGATTATACGCGCTGCTTGTCGACGCTCCATCAACCCCTCGGGGGCTTAAAAACGGAAAGATATTCACAAATATCCCTCAAAATTAATTAAAATCAGGAAGTTGTTTGAAGTTTAAAATCAAGAAATTATTAACAATCCTTACAAATAAATACTCGAAAATAGTGGATTTAACAGAGTTGTGTGGGGAAAAACAAACACATTATCAAACGCTGCCATTTGAAGAGAGGTGTTTTTGCTGAAGGGAAATCCTTATTGCCAGGAGGTACTAGAGCTCGAAACAAGCCGGCCGTTCATTATCCACTAAACCTCATTCGAGGGATTTCCTCTGATTAAGAATGCAGCGCCATCCTTCATTCGGCGCTAAGAAATGAATTCCCTTTCTAACGGGGGTGCGGGTGGGGGGCGGGTGGGGGTTGAGTTTCAAACCAGTTTTCATGGCGAATTAATAAATATGGGGAAAAATGTGGTGTGTTTGACTAGGGATGATGGGTGAAAATGTAGCTCGGGTAGATTGGGGGGGGGGGGGGGGGAGGCATTCATATCAAATCGAAGTGGAGTTACGGAAAGGCACTCATTTGTAATCGAGGAGAGTTGCGGAAAGGAATTCGCAGTTCCACTTCGATTAGATTTTGTCACTTTGATTA